ATTTTTGTTGACACATCTACAATAAGGAAAACATTAAACAAGAATGGAGTACATGGGAGGACACCACCAACGGAGGAAGCCATTTTGTCCAAAAAAAGATTGCAGCACGTTTGAAGTTTGCAAAAGAGCACCTGGATGTTCCACAGCACTACTGGCAAAATTATATGTGGACAGATGAAACCAAGATTGAGTTGTTTGGGAAGAATATACAACAACACTATGTGTGGAGAAAAAAAGGCACAGCAACCAACATCAAAACCTCATCCCCACTGTGAAACATGGCGGAGGGAGCATCATGGTTTGGGGCTGCTTTGCTGCCTCAGGGCCTGCACGGATTGTTGTCATTGATGGGAAAATGAATTCCAGAGTTTATCAAGACATTTTGCAGGAAAAAACGTATAACTTCTGTCTGCCACATGAAGCTCCGCAAGGATGGGTTCCAACAGGGGACAATGACCCAAAGCATACCCACTAATTCAACAAAATTAAATGGCTGCAACAGCACAGAATACGCCTTCTGGAGTGGCCCAGTCAGAGTCCTGACCTCAACCCGATTGAAATGCTGTGGCATGACCTTAAGAAGCGATTCACACCAGACATCCCAAGAATATTGCTACACTGAAACAGTTTTTGTGAAGAGAGGAGTGGTCCAAAAATGACTCCAGATCGTTGTGCAGGTCTGATCTGCAACTTCAGGAAACGTTTGGTTGAGGTTATTGCTGCCAAAGGAGGGTCAACCAGTTATTAAGTCCAAAGGTTCACATACTTTTCCTCCCTGCACTGTGAATGTTTAAGTGCAATTAAAATGGCAACATCTAATGTTTGTGTAGTATTATGTTCAGCACGTTCTTTCTACTGTTGTGACTTAGATGAGTTCAGAGCACATTTTATGCCCAATTAATTCAAAAACTCCACGTAATCCCAAGGGGTTCAATACTTTTTCTTGCATCTGTAGATACAATATAAATGTGCATGAGTAGATTGTAACCATGAAAAGAAAGGGGAAAAAGCGGAAACCGATACAGTGAAGGAAATGCGTATTTGCTCCCCGGCTGATGTTGAATGTTCGCCCCTCACAAAGAAATGATCGGTCTAAAATTTGAATGTTCGCTGTATTGTAACACTGAGAGACAGAATACAACAACAAATTCAGCAGAAATGCGTCTAACAAATGATGACTGATCTGCATGTTCATGAGGGAAATACGGATTTGATCCCCTTCACAAAAAATCAATCAGAGGTCAGACGTTTCCTGGAGTTGGCCCCCAGGTTCGCACACATCTCAAGAGGGATTTTGGCCCACTCCTCTTGGCAAATTCTCTCCAAGTCGTTAAGGTTTGGTGGCTGACGTTTGGCAACTCGAACTTTCAGCTCCCTCCACAGATTTTCCATCGGATTAAGGTCTGGAGACTGGCTAGGCCACTCCAGGACCTTAAGGTGCTTCTTCTTCAGCCGCTCCTTTGTTGCCTTGGCCCTGTGTTTTGGGTCATTGTCATTGTCACTCAACAGTCAAAATCAGCAGGGGATCAAATACGCATTTGCTTCACTGTATGTTTGTAACAACTATGCCTGTTACTTACACTGACTTAGGCTGACCATACACTATACAATTTTCTGTCCAGTTTCTGCCCAATTTCCTTTAGATTTGCCTTCAATTACGTAGTGCAAGGGCCTGCCTAATTGGAAACAATTTAAAGTGCTGTTTAGGTTTGACCTCATATTATATGATTTGCAGTAAATCTAAAGAAAAATTCTCAAGAAAATTGTATAATGTATGGCCAGTGTATGGTAGAAAGAAAAAAAAAAGTTTTTTTCTGGTTGTCAATTTCAGATTCAGCCACTAGATGTCAGAGATAGCCATTGATTCAAAGGATATCAGCTGAAAAACCAAACAAATACTTCAATAATTATACATGAAAGATCACCTAGATAAAGTAACTATACAATCACCATGTACTTAAAACAGACCTTTAACATTGAGCCTCCATTTTACCTCAATATGATCCAAAACAGTTTGAGAAAACGCACATATGAACGTATCTTCAGCCAAGAGGCCATATTGTGACGAACCGTCCCTTTGTGATAACATGCCCTTTCTGTTCCGGTATTCTCCCCTTGTTAAGTGGTCTCTTCATTCTCCCCTTGTTAAGTGGTCTTCCCGTTCTCCCCTTGGAAAGCGGTCTTTCCATTCTCCCCTTTGAAAGCGTTCTTTCCATTCTCCCCTCGGTAAGGGGTCTTCCCGTTCTCCCCTCGGTAAGCGGTCTTCCCAATCTCCCCTCGGTAAGCGGTCTTCCCGTTCTCCCCTCGGTAAGCGGTCTTCCCGTTCTCCCCTCGGTAAGCGGTCTTCCCGTTCTCTCCTCGGTAAGCGGTCTTCCCGTTTTCCCCTCGGTAATCGGTCTTCCCGATCTCCCCTCGGTAATCGGTCTTCCCGATCTCCCCTCGGTAAGCGGTCTTCCCGTTCTCCCCTCGGTAATCGGTCTTCCCGATCTCCCCTCGGTAAGCGGTCTTCCCGTTCTCCCCTCGGTAAGTGGTCTTCCCGCTCTCCCCTCGGTAAGCGGTCTTCCCGTTCTCCCCTTGTTAAGTGGTCTTCCCCCTCGTTCTCCCCCCCTCGGTAAGCGGTCTTCCCGTTCTCCCCTCGGTAAGGGGTCTTCCCCCCTTCTCCCCTCGGTAAGCGGTCTTCCTGGTCTCCCCTCGGTAAGCGGTCTTCACGTTCTCCCCTTGTTAAGTGGTCCCCTCCCCTCGGTAAGCGGTCTTCCTGTCTCTCCCCTCGGTAAGCGGTCTTCCCGTTCTCCCCTTGTTAAGTGGTCTTTCCGTTCTCCCCTTGGTAAGGAGTCTTCCCGTTCTCCCCTTGGAAAGCGGTCTTTCCATTCTCCCCTTTGAAAGCGTTCTTTCCATTCTCCCCTCGGTAAGGGGTCTTCCCGTTCTCCCCTCGGTAAGCGGTCTTCCCGTTCTCCCCCTCGGTAAGCGGTCTTCCCGTTCTCCCCTCGGTAAGCGGTCTTCCCGTTCTCCCCTCGGTAAGCGGTCTTCCCGTTCTCCTCTTGTTAAGTGGTCTTTCCGATCTCCCCTTGTTAAGTGGTCTTCTCATTCCCCCTTGTTAGGTGGTCTTCCCGTTCTCCCCTCGGTAAGCGGTCTTCCTGTTCTCCCCTTGGTAAGTGGTCTTCCCGTTCTCCCCTCGGTAAGCGGTCTTCCCGTTCTCCCCTTGTTAAGTGGTCTCCCCGTACTCCCCTCGGTAAGCATTCTTCCCGTTCTCCCCTCGGTAAGCGGTCTTCCCGTTCCCCCCTCGGTAAAAAGTCTTCCCGTTCTCCCCTCGGTAAGCGGTCTTCCCGATCTCCCCTCGGTAAGCGGTCTTCCCGTTCTCCCCTCGGTAAGCGGTCTTCCCGTTCTCCCCTTGGTAAGCGGTCTTCCCGTTCTCCTCTTGTTAAGTGGTCTTTCCGATCTCCCCTTGTTAAGTGGTCTTCTCATTTCCCTCTTGTTAGGTGGTTTTACCGTTCTCCCCTCGGTAAGTGGTCTTCCCGTTCTCCCCTTGGAAAGCGGTCTTTCCATTCTCCCCTTTGAAAGCGGTCTTTCCATTCTCCGCTCGGTAAGGGGTCTTCCCGTTCTCCCCTCGGTAAGCGGTCTTCCCGTTCTCCCCTCGGTAAGCGGTCTTCCCGTTCTCCCCTCGGTAAGCGGTCTTCCCGTTCTCCCCTCGGTAAGCGGTCTTCCCGATCTCCCCTCGGTAAGCGGTCTTTCTGTTCTCCCCTCGGTAAGCGGTCTTCCCATTCTCCCCTCGGTAAGCGGTTTTCCCATTCTCCTCTCGTTAAGTGGTCTTTCCGATCTCCCCTTGTTAAGTGGTCTTCTCGTTCCCCCCTTGTTAGGTGGTCTTCCCGTTCTCACCTCGGTAAGTGGTCTTCCCGTTCTCCCCTTGGTAAGTGGTCTTCCCGCTCTCCCCTCGGTAAGAGGTCTTCCCGTTTTCCCCTTGTTAAGTGGTCTTCCTGCTCTTTCCTCAGTAAGCGGTCTTCCCGTTCTCCCCTTGGTAAGGGGTCTTCCCGTTCTCCCCTCGGTAAGCGGTTTTCCCGTTCCCCCTCGGTAAGCTGTCTTCCCATTCTCCCCTCGGTAAGCGGGCTTCCCGTTCTCCCCTCAGTAAGCGGGCTTCCCGTTCTCCCCTCGGTAAGCGGTCTTCCCGTTCTCCCCTCGGTAAGCGGTCTTCCCGTTCTCCCCTTGGTAAGCGGTCTTCCCGTTCTCCCCTCGGTAAGCGGGTCTTCCCGATCTCCTCTTGTTAAGTGGTCTTTCCGATCTCCCCTTGTTAAGGGGTCTTCTTGTTCCCCCCTTGTTAAGTGGTCTTTCCGTTCTCCCCTTGGTAAGGGGTCTTCCCGTTCTCCCCCCCTCGGTAAGTGGTCTTCCCGTTCTCCTCTTGTTAAGTGGTCTTTCCGATCTCCCCTTGTTAAGTGGTCTTCTCATTCCCCCCTTGTTAGGTGGTCTTCCCCGTTCTCCCCCTCGGTAAGTGGTCTTCCTGTTCTCCTCTTGTTAAGTGGTCTTTCCGATCTCCCCTTGTTAAGTGGTCTTCTCATTCCCCCCTTGTTAGGTGGTCTTCCCATTCTCCACTCGGTAAGTGGTCTTCCTGTTCTCCCCTCGGTAAGCGGTCTTACCGTTCTCCCCTTGGTAAGTGTTCTTCCCGTTCTCCCCTCGGTAAGCGGCCTTCCCGTTCTCCCCTTGGTAAGTGGTCTTCCCGTTCTCCCCTCGGTAAGCGGTCTTCCAGATCTCCCCTCGGTAAGTGGTCTTCCCGTTCTCTCTTCCCCGTTGTTAAGTGGTCTTCCCGTTCTCTCCTTGTTCTCCCGTCTCTCGGTAAGTGGTCTTCCCGTTCTCTCCTTGTTAAGAGGTCTTCCCGTTCTCTCTCGGTTCTTCCCGTTCTCTACTCGGTAAGTGGTCTTCCCGTTCTCCCTCGGTATTCTCCCCTTTGTTTGTAAAGCTGTATATGTTTGGCAGCTGTTATGTAGACAGACATTCTACATGTTTGTTTAGGGTAATGGGGACTTGTAGTCTTTCACTTCTCTAGAATTCATACTGTGCTGATTGCTGTAGAGTTTTGTTGTGGGTGGGGAAAACCAGGTGCCAGACTGTCTGGTGGGGGTGGGGGTGAAGGGGGCAGTAATCCCTGCCCCCTTCACCCCCACCCCCACCAGACAGTCTTATGTGCTGTATATACTGAGCTGTGTTCAATAAAGATTCATTCATTCCCCCTACACGAAGTTCCGACTCATGATTTGAGATATCGGGGAAGGATTGTCTTTGAGCTTTAATACCCACATTGACAGAGCGGTGGAGGACTTGCTGGAAAAGGGGACCATTGGCTGAGACTCATTGCTCCGCATGAGGGAGCCCAGGTGGAACTGTTCCGCCACACACATCCTTTTTCCTACCCTCTTTTATATCCTCCACGCCGGCCGACGTGTGAAGTCATTGGCCGAGTACGGACGTCTGATGTACGACTACGCATGCACTAAGATCTCGGGCGCGCATGTGTGAACCGAAGCCACCCAGCACCATTACAAAATCTTAAGGGAAGCAATAGAGACATCTACAACAGCGCTGTATTTAGGTGAGCATATCGGAATAGCGTCCAAAAGGCTACGCCCTGGGCGTCCGTACATTTGCACCTCAGGATGAGGCATGGCACAAAATTGTATCTTTAAAGTGAACATTGATCCTATAAAATGGTGAGCTGGATGGATCCTAATTCTAATCAGTATTTATATTTATTCCCGGATCACATGTATGGACCATTATCAAAACTTGTGTTTTGTGTAAAAATAAAAGAGTTGGCTTCCTGTTTTCAGAAGAGCTGGGTGCTGTCTGCTTCCTGAGGGATTTCAAGGGTGTGGTCCGTGGATGGTGTTCGGACAGGGAAGCTGTGGTATAGCGGAATATACCCAAGTGCTGTCTGGGTTCCGGTTCCGTTACAGATTGTCTTCAGACTTTATGCTTTTCAATCAAATCAACCTTCTTTTTTCTTTTTATTGATTGTATATAATATTTCTATATACTTCTGCTCCTACGAAACAGAGCAGCACCCGTGGCACAGGGGTCACAAAGCAGCACCCATGGCACCAGGGTCATAGAGCAGCACCCATGGCACAGGGGTCACAAAGCAGCACCCATGGCACAGGGGTCACAAAGCAGCACCCATGGCACAGGGGTCACAAAGCAGCACCCATGGCACCAGGGTCATAAAGCAGCACCCATGGCACAGGGGTCACAGAGCAGCACCTATGGCACAGGGGTCACAGAGCAGCACCCAAGGTACAGGGGTCACAGAGCAGCACCGGTGGCACAGGGGTCACAGAGCAGCACCGGTGGCACAGGGGTCATAAAGCAGCACCCGTGGCACAGGGGTCATAGAGCAGCACCCATGGCACAGGGGCCACAGAGCAGCACCCATGGCACAGGGGTCACAGAGCAGCACCCATGGCACAGGGGTCACAGAGCAGCACCCGTGGCAACAGGGGTCACAGAGCAGCACCCGTGGCACAGGGGTCACAGAGCAGCACCCGTGGCACAGGGGTCACAGAGCAGCACCCGTGGCACAGGGGTCACAGAGCAGCACCCGTGGCACAGGGGTCACAGAGCAGCACCCATGGCACAGGGGTCACAGAGCAGCACCCGTGGCACAGGGGTCACAGAGCAGCACCCAAGGTACAGGGGTCACAGAGCAGCACCCAAGGTACAGGGGTCACAGAGCAGCACCGGTGGCACAGGTGTCACAGAGCAGCACCGGTGGCACAGGGGTCATAAAGCAGCACCCGTGGCACAGGGGTCATAGATCAGCACCCATGGCACAGGGGTCACAGAGCAGCACCCAAGGTACAGGGGTCACAGAGCAGCACCCAAGGTACAGGGGTCACAGAGCAGCACCGGTGGCACAGGGGTCACAAGCAGCACCCGTGGCACAGGGGTCATAAAGCAGCACCCATGGCACAGGGGTCACAGAGCAGCACCCATGGCACAGGGGTCACAGAGCAGCACCCGTGGCACAGGGGTCACAGAGCAGCACCCGTGGAACAGGGGTCACAGAGCAGCACCCGTGGCACAGGGTTCACAGAGCAGCACCCGTGGCACAGGGGTCACAGAGCAGCACCCGTGGCACAGGGGTCACAGAGCAGCACCCGTGGCACAGGGGTCACAGAGCAGCACCCGTGGCACAGGGGTCACAGAGCAGCACCCGTGCACAGGGGTCACAGAGCAGCACCCGTGCACAGGGGTCACAGAGCAGCACCCGTGGCACAGGGGTCACAGAGCAGCACCCATGGGCACAGGGGTCACAGAGCAGCACCCGTGGCACAGGGGTCACAGAGCATTTATGACTCCTTTCAGCTGTCATTTACCAACTGATACAAGATGATTAAACACAATGGTGATTATTTAGTGAATTTATAAATTTTAAAATGATAATAAAACCTTACATACTGTATACCCAGTAAAGTGACTGAGCTCAGGGAATACACAATGATGAATTAATCCTCCTGCCTAAGCTGTACCTGTTTATCTGCACTCTTCTCTCCTCTGCAGCCTTCTAAAGTACACAGATCAGATAGGATGTCTCTGCTTTCCGGATGTGGGGGTGGGGCTCTGATGTCACACACAGCACAGCATAGAGATCAGAGCTGAGTGTAATCAGAGACATGAGTGGAGGAAAGAACACACACCCCTCTACACAGTCTCACAGAGAAACATGCTATGTGTTGGGGGGTGGGGCCATCCCTTGTTTTTGCCTGGTGTCAGGAAAAACCGTCAGAAATTATTCAAGTGGATAACAGAGGAAGAAGATAGCAGAAATAATCCAGACTAAGTGCTGTGGACTGAGGTAAGTACACACTGTATGGGGGTATGCTTTGTTCAATTGTCAGTTCAGAGGTTTACAACCACTTTAAGAAAACACACATCCATGTATTAATATAAAAGTTACTTTATTGAGTAGCAGAAATTCATTGGATGGTATTTAGTTGGCGGCGACAGTCTGGTCCACCCAGGATCTGAGGGAGGTGACGCGGGCGTAGATTCCGGGAGCAGATGGAGTGCAGTCAGGGCTGCCTGCGGACACAACACCGGCCAGGGTCCAGGCTCCGTTCCTCTGGCATACAAGGGGTCCACCAGAGTCACCCTGAAAAGGGGCAAATAGGGGAATTATAGAATAGTTCTCAAGCAGTCGTCTGTCCTTTGGAGTAACCTCTTGCTGCCCACATAACGCTTATATCAAGCAGTAAAGAGGATGGGCTTCAATGCCCCAACACTATCACACACAGTATGCGCCCATGGATGTCATGTTTGATGTAAGAGCACACAAAACATGTTTGTGCTAAGAGCACACTCCCAATTAAGACATGGCTTCACTGTCACAGACAGCCAACCAGCACACTCTCCCCATCCATTCACACCCTTTGATTGTACTGACCCCCCGGGTGCAGGAAGGACTCGGTCAGGTGACCACTGTGACAGCCAACCACAGTGGTCACACTCTCCCCATCCAGTCTCACATCCCTTTGATTGTACATTTACCCCCCGGGTGCAGGAAGGACTTCCTAGTCATGTGACCACTGTGACAGCCAACCACAGTGGTCACACTCTCCCCATCCAGTCTCACATCCCTTTGATTGTACATTTACCCCCCGGGTGCAGGAAGGACGTCCTAGTCATGTGACCACTGTGACAGCCAACCACAGTGGTCACACTCTCCCCATCCAGTCTCACATCCCTTTGATTGTACATTTACCCCCCGGGTGCAGGAAGGACTTCCTAGTCATGTGACCACTGTGACAGCCAACCACAGTGGTCACACTCTCCCCATCCAGTCTCACATCACTTTGATTGTACATTTACCCCCTGGGTGCAGGAAGGACTTCCTAGTCATGTGACCACTGTGACAGCCAACCACAGTGGTCACACTCTCCCCATCCAGTCTCACATCACTTTGATTGTACATTTACCCCCTGGGTGCAGGAAGGACTTCCTAGTCATGTGACCACTGTGACAGCCAACCACAGTGGTCACACTCTCCCCATCCAGTCTCACATCACTTTGATTGTACATTTACCCCCTGGGTGCAGGAAGGACTTCCTAGTCATGTGACCACTGTGACAGCCAACCACAGTGGTCACACTCTCCCCATCCAGTCTCACATCACTTTGATTGTACATTTACCCCCCGGCAGGATGGACGTCCTAGTCATGTGACCACTGTGACAGCCAACCACCGTGGTCACATGACTGGGAAGTCCATCCTGCACCTGGGGGGGGGGGTAAAAACGTCCAGTTAAAGGGATGTGAGACTGGATGGGGAGGGGTTAATGTAGACAGAACCATGGAGTCATATTATTTACTTACAACAAGACATAACTCCTATCTGGGTGTGGATCCAATTCAGTATATACTGTAAATAAATGGCACCATTATCTGGATTATGAGAGACAGAGCAATGTAATCCCAAATTTTTTCTTTTGAGGTTAACATATATTTGAAGAAAAGTTGTAATTGGTGTGTTATGTTGTGGGTGATGGGAGCAAGACAGAAAGTGAGGGGAGATTTCATGAAGGGGGGCCTTTGAATAGTCGTGAAATCATGAAGGGGCTCCTAATCCTTCTCATCTCTATATAGAATAATATATTTTTTTTAATTATTATTATACAATTATTATTTATATAATCGTAGGATGTGCGCTTTAAGGTGGCCTTGTGAGATAATTGCCAATTTCTGGACTTTGTATGAACCACAGAAGGTCATATACACACCATGATGGCACTGCTCAACTACAAGACCAAGCTCGATGCCATCTTACATACTCTTTGACAAAAAAAAAAAAAGGGTCTCAGAAGGGGAACTTGAAATCTGAAACAAATCGTGAAAAACACATATCTGAACCATTAAATGGTCTAAAAGAGACCTACCAACAACAGTGATATGCAGAATATGGTCCACCGTATGAAACAGAACACAGGACCATCTATGGTGGAGCAAATCATTGAGTATTCACTCGTCACTACTCATTAGGATTGAATTAATATTTAGTCCTTTAATAGATCTAATATTCTATGTATTGTATGATAATCAGGCTGCATAGATTGTTCTGCCTCATATAAAGTGACCCAAATTAGAGATATTTGGATCCATATTGTTCTGTTCCACAAGAGGACTAAAGAAAGCCAACACTTGTCAATAGGACAGTAGGTCATCATACCTTGCAGGAGGAGGCACCGGAGGCACCAGCGCAGATCATGGAGGCCTGGATTCTGGGTAAAAAGTATTTCTGGCACTCAGTGTTGGTCAGAAGAGGAAGCGACACCTGCTGGAGTTTAGCTGGGGAGGCTTGTGCTGAGAGAGAAAGGGAGAAGATGGATTAACATAAAAGATGAACAGCAACTAACATGTATAGGCTCTAGACATATGGTAAACGACCATATTGTGACCATACCATTGTGATGCCTATTTATACCAGAATGACAGCCCACCATAGAAGACCATATTATGGCCATATCATTGTGATGCCTATTCCTACTACTGTATACTGACAGCCCTCCATAGAAGACCATATTATGGCCATATCAGTGTGATGACTGTTCATACCAGATAGACCGCCAACAGAAGGAAACCACATTACGCCATATCATTGTGATGCCTATTCCTACTACTGTATACTGACAGCCCACCATAGAAGACCGTATTATGGCCATATCAGTGTGATGACTGTTCATACCAGATAGACCTCCAACAGAAGGAAACCACATTACGCCATATCATTGTGATGCCTATTCCTACTACTGTATACTGACAGCCCACCATAGAAGACCATATTATGGCCATATCATTGTGATGTCTATTCCTACAACTGTATACTGACAGCCCTCCATAGAAGACCGTATTATGGCCATATCAGTGTGATGACTGTTAATACCAGATAGACCTCCAACAGAAGGAAACCACATTATGCCATATCATTGTGATGCCTATTCCTACTACTGTATACTGACAGCCCTCCATAGAAGACCATATTATGGCCATATCATTGTGATGTCTATTCCTACAACTGTATACTGACAGCCCTCCATAGAAGACCGTATTATGGCCATATCAGTGTGATGACTGTTCATACCAGATAGACCTCCAACAGAAGGAAACCACATTACGCCATATCATTGTGATGCCTATTCCTACAACTGTATACTGACAGCCCTCCATAGAAGACCGTATTATGGCCATATCAGTGTGATGACTGTTAATACCAGATAGACCTCCAACAGAAGGAAACCACATTATGCCATATCATTGTGATGCCTATTCCTACAACTGTATACTGACAGCCCACCATAGAAGACCATATTATGGCCATATCAGTGTGATGACTGTTCATACCAGATAGACCTCCAACAGAAGGAAACCACATTACGCCATATCATGGTGATGCCTATTCCTACTACTGTATACTGACAGCCCTCCATAGAAGACCTTATTATGACCATATCATTGTGATGCCTGTCCATACCAGAGGACAGCCAACAGTAGAAGAAATCATTACATCATATCATTGTGGTGCCTTTTCATATTACTGTATACTGAAAGCCCACCATAGAAGACCTTATTATGACCATATCATTGTGATGGCTGTCCATACCAGACTGAAACTGATATTTTGCCCTGTTGTTACTGGAAATGGCTGACAGTACTTATGAAGCTTCTTTTTAAGTTATTTTTCCTACCAAAAAAACTAGCATAAGCTGAGGCTTTTAGTGGAGTTCCTACAGCTCATTGGAGCTTTCTGAGTCAAACCTTGTTGAGCTGGAGAGAAAAAAAGTGGAATGAGAGCCAAGGAAAAAGTTAATATTACGTCAATCTTCATAACTAGGCCCTAATGACTGAAAAATAATTTAGGAAAATTTACAATAATGAGATAGGGAGTTGTCCCACAGTGTGGCCATCTAATGACCATGAAAAGCCACTTAAATAAAAGGAAAAAGGGCATTTGCCTCTAGCCCACCAGCACAGGGCAATTGTTGTCCATGTTCTCTCAGGAGAGATCCATTGTCTCTGTTGGTCTTGTTGGCCAGTGGGACAGATAGTGATGGAAAATCCCAAATTTTAAGGATGACACCAGAATAGGAGCTTAGCAGGATCTTTTAAAAGCGACATATATCTAAACTCTCTAATTAGGGATTTCCCTTATTTTAAAAAGGATTCCTCAGTAAGAGGTCTCTGAAACAGGAGGTAAAGGGGAAACCTTTCCAATGAGACACACATAGCAAAAAAACTGACAGAGGTTGTACCATTTTCTATACCCAAAATGAAAAAAAGAGTCTTTTGGCTGAAGTTGATTAGGATTGATTCACTCGGATTAAAATGGATTCAATCGAAACAATCTTATTTTGTTAAACCATTTACATTGTAACTAGAATATTTCATCAATGATGCCTGTAAACAGTTTGCAGGCATCGCTTACACAGGAGCCACTATCTAAACTCCTGGTGCAAAAAGCACGACCCTAATCCAAAAATTGACTGCTGGGTCACGCCAACTAGAGATGCACGATGCCCACAGCAGGAGAAGAGGAATGTCCTACAAACTTAGACAAATTTTTTTAGGGCGTGCTTTGCATACCCAAGGGCTTTAACCGGTTAATACTTTTTATTTTTGAAGACCATCTAATCCCCTTACTGGCAGCATTGGTGTATCCCCATCCGGTGGTGACACATCTTTCTCCTTCATTGAAGACATCAGAGGAAGCAGCAAGACACACGGGGGACACGCGGTCATTGAGGGAGGCGGGACTGGAAAGCTTGATCAGGGCGATGTCATTGACCTTAGTCCAGTCGCTGTACTGGGGGTGACTGAAGAACTGAAAAAAGGTATAATAATGATTAATGTTTTTATAGAGTTTAATAAATCAGAATCTACTAGTGAACTTGTAATAAATGTGCCTTTGAATCTTCTCCGTTGGTAGTTTAATCTGCTTACTTGTCATTTTTTATTCTCCTGTTAACATTGCACTGAGAGTTGCCTCCACCTTAATCCACCATCCTGTGTTAATTTAAGTTGAGGAAAGCTGAAAAAGTCCCCAGGGTTAAAAAATGATGGAAGTGCCAGAACTTCATGTAGATCAGGGGAATCTCAGCTGACAATTTAGGGGTTCAAGAAGCTACTTTGAAAGTACAACTTCACCAACTAAAAAAATTTAAATGAAAAAACAACACAGGGGTTGGCAACCTGGGCACTCCAGCTGTGGTGAAACTACCAATCCCATGAGGCATGGTAAGACTCTGGCAACTATAGGCATGATTCCCAGAGGCTGAAGTATGATGAGATTTGTAGTTTCACCATGGCTAGAAATCTAAGGTTGCCTATTCCTGGATTAGAAGATGATAGACGTCCTCCAGCCAGGAAATGAGGCAGAGCTCTATCTGACTTTCTGCAGTTTCTAATTCACATTGTGAGATGCTCACAGTGTGCAGTGATAACAGAGTAAACCACTTGAGTCCAAGAGAGGGGCTGGTACAACTGTGCAAGACTGAACAGAAGGCCGGAGGTCAAATTTATCGACTGTCTTGCTTTGGGACTTGGGGGCAAAGAAAACCTCATTTATAAGGCCCACTTGTTGTCTTGGAATGAACACTTTGTGCCTTGACCCTTCCTTTGGCAAATCAGAGGATCCCAGTGCATGCAGAAATTCAATAATCTGTGCTCAGGTTTTTATAATTAAAATACGCTCATTAATTCATTTCTATAATTAATTATTTCCCTTAAAATCTGAAAAATAAAATAAAGTTTTGTAAGAGAGGAAGAAACATCTTGTAGGATCTTCTGAACTCCATCCCATGTCCATCCCAATCTGTGTACCTTTTTATAAAGGAATAAAGCTTCGAAGATACATTGACGACGCTGATCACGTTCTCACATCTAAAACTCCTAAAAAACAAGAGGTCTCCTTCAGTAAAAAGAGCTTACTTTGCCGATGGACTTGATCTGGATGGGATCAGCATTGGAGGAATGATCAAATGCACCCAGGACCACGCGGTGGGAATTTCTGAATGAAACAAACATGGCAGGTCATTGGTAAATGGTGGGGGTGTTGTGGTGACTGTGGTTTTCAAACTCATCCCTATTCTCTCTATACTTGGGAACATTGTACATGCCTGGCAGTGCAAGGTCATGTATTCACAGTGATTTAGCAAAGGGAACAAGACTATGCCACCCATGCTGTCTACATCCCTCTACTTTCGACAACCCCTAACTTATGCATCTTGTAATAAAAAGAGTTTTATAGTCAGTTGTGAATTGAATATATGGCTCTATATTGCATCTGATTGTCATGGAGACCACTTGGGCTCCTGGAGGGACCTGGGGGCCCATCTTCTTTCGACTGACTATGGACCCAGGACTAAGGAGATCCCCCTCTTGGGGTTACAGGGAACCTTTTCCCTAAGAGGGTTATATCATTTCCCTGGGTACCTGGCTTGCCATGATTTATACCAGCTACCAGTTCCATGCAGTTAGGACTGGAGGGACTATTTCTGGGACCCCTTGGCATACTGTGCATAGTGGAACTATTATCCTGGAGTGACGTGTTATGTGCAGGGGGTGAAATCCAGAATATGTAGGGTTAAGAAACTTTACTTTCTGTTACAGGTTTCTTGGCATCAGCTATTGTTTGCTGTAATTAGGTTTGGGCGATAAGCTTTCACTTTGTTTAACCACCTCCAGAGTCCAGTCTGCTGGGTGCCAGGAAGGAATCCATTGTTTTCTTGTGTTTTATTCTTTATTTGTTTATGTGATGGAATTTTCTCCTGGGACTTGTAATGTGGGCCATACTTGTCTAGAGGGAAGGTTTTTGTGTATAACTGCTGTGTTGTTTGTTGATAAAGTTCGCCCTGTTTTACTCCAACATTGTTTCTGTCAGATGCTTGGGATAAATTTGCTATCTAAAGACCTACCCTAACATATTGGTTCTGTCTGGTAATTAAGGAGGTTTGGAGATACTCAGTTAGGGTGGCGGGCAGTCCATCACACTGATCTATAAACCTCTCGATGGACAGTTGGATAAATGGTTCTATATTTAGGATGTATCCGGTCTATAAACCAGAGGCTCTGGATGGACAGTTGGATAAATGGTTCTATATTTAGGATGTATCCGGTCTATAAACCAGAGGCTCTGGGTGTACAGTTGGATAAATGGTTCTATATTTAGGATGTATCCGGTCTATAAACCAGAGGCTCTGGGTGTACAGTTGAATAAATGGCTCTATATTTAGGATGTATCTGGTCTATAAACCAGAGGCTCTGGGTGTACAGTTGGATAAATGGTTCTATATTTAGGATGTATCCGGTCTATAAACCAGAGGCTCTGGGTGTACAGTTGGATAAATGGTTCTATATTTAGGATGTATCCGGTCTATAAACCAGAGGCTCTGGGTGTACAGTTGGATAAATGGCTCTATATTTAGGATGTATCCGGTCTATAAACCAGAGGCTCTGGGTGTACAGTTGGATAAATGGTTCTATATTTAGGATGTATCCGGTCTATAAACCAGAGGCTCTGGGTGTACAGTTGGATAAATGTCTCTATATATAGGATGTATCCGGCCTATAAACCAGAGGCTCTGGATGGACAGTTGGATAAATGGCTCTATATTTAGGATGTATCCGGTCTATAAACCAGAGGCTCTGGGTGTACAGTTGGATAAATGGCTCTATATTTAGGATGTATCCGGTCTATAAACCAGAGGCTCTGGGTGTACAGTTGGATAAATGTCTCTATATATAGGATGTATCCGGCCTATAAACCAGAGGCTCTGGATGGACAGTTGGATAAATGGCTCTATATTTAGGATGTATCCGGTCTATAAACCAGAGGCTTTGGGTGTACGGTTGGATAAATGGCTCTATATATAGGATGTATCCGGTCTATAAACCAGAGGCTCTGGGTGAACGGTTGGATAAATGGTTTTATATTAGGATGTATCCGGTCTATAAACCAGAGGCTCTGGGTGTACAGTTGGATAAATGGCTCTATATTTAGGATGTATCCGGTCTATAAACCAGAGGCTCTGGATGGACAGTTGGATAAATGGTTCTATATTAGGATGTATCCGGTCTATAAACCAGAGGCTCTGGGTGTACAGTTGGATAAATGGCTCTATATTTAGGATGTATCCGGTCTATAAACCAGAGGCTCTGGGTGTACAGTTGGATAAATGGCTCTATATTTAGGATGTATCCGGTCTATAAACCAGAGGCTCTGGATGGACAGTTGGATAAATGGCTCTATATTTAGGATGTATCCGGTCTATAAACCAGAGGCTCTGGGTGTACAGTTGGATAAATGGCTCTATATTTAGGATGTATCCGGTCTATGAACCAGAGGCTCTGGGTGTACAGTTGGATAAATGGTTCTATATTTAGGATGTATCCGGTCTATGAACCAGAGGCTCTGGATGGACAGTTGGATAAATGGCTCTATATTTAGGATGTATCCGGTCTGTAAACCAGAGGCTCTGGGTGTACAGTTGGATAAATGGCTCTATATTTAGGATGTATCCGGTCTATAAACCAGAGGCTCTGGGTGTACAGTTGGATAATAAATGGCTCTATATTTAGGATGTATCCGGTCTATAAACCAGAGGCTCTGGATGGACAGATTTCCAGTGAAGTATTGCAGGGAACACTGACTTTATAGTAGAATATTACCATATAAGACTCACCTGACTGGGCAGTGGGCAGCAGTGACAACCCAGAGACTGTTGATGAGGGAGGAGCCCCCACAGTAGTGGAATCCAGTTGAATCCTGTAGAAGAGTCATGAGGTCATAGCTTAATATACAGATCATTTCACCTACCCTATGAAGATTCTTATCCCCCCCCATGGAAAACTGAACAATACTATGGTCACAGAAGAGCACCACCAAAGACAAGTTTTAGGCCAGATAGATAATTACAGGCACATAGGTGACATTGCCACATAGTATTTAAATCTGAACTCCAGACAGATATAAAATTCAATAATTAATGCAGTTCTATATTTATTGATTCATCATTAAATATAGTTTTTTTAGATACAAGCAGAGTAATCACATGGATGTGACCTCGTATCAGATTTAAGCAGTGTTCCTAGAAGAGGTCAAGCATGTGCAATAAAAGTGTCTAAGTATGTATCCTTCCTGGAGGAAAAGCTGCTCTCTTTTCCCTTTAATCCTGTTCATTGACTTTCTCCTGGAGAAGAGGACCAGCCATTTCTGAACGCTGAAGTTTCCCTTCATCTTCACATCACATGGCTAATTGCCTAGGTAGTCACTGGAAGACACCCAAAGCAGCACCTTCAGCCCTCCTATTGTTACTATTTATATATGCCAACAGGACTGTAGATTTTTCTTTTATTGGATTGCACAGTAGTCCAATCAGAGATAGTTTCCACCCTTGGGGATATAGAGGGAAAGCCTAGCCGCACTCCCATCCCTCTCTGATGTTTGGTTTGTGTCTACCTTCTCCATCCGCCTGCTTATCAGCTACTAGGTGCTTCTAAGTGCCATGTTCTGCTCCTTGATGTTCTTTGGTAGGATACATCTCACTGTAGCCACATGTTTGGCAAGCCGTCTGAAACTGGATTCCTTTGCTAATTAACTTGACTACTGCCTTTCCTGCTCTGACACCATGACATCAACATGAGATTGGAGTAATACTAATGAGTGTGTTGGAAATGGATTGTTCAAGTAAAGCAAGTTACAGTAATACAGAGCTGTCACCAAATTCTATAACACCTGATAACATCTATACCAAAATTGCATACCGGGAGCAACACCAATGGTAACTGGGCCTAGACTTCTCCATTCATTCCAAACAGCTTAAATGGTAACACTATGAATGGTAAATGGTAGGAGTGCGGTAAAGGCAGCTTGACTAAGGGTCATACAAACCCCCAGAGGCTACACTGCCATTTGACCCTTCTAGGACCAAGCCTGCCTGCCGGACTTTACTATATAAGAAATAAAGCAATCACCAGGGGAAGAAAAAAAAGAAGTGAGTGGTAACATGTATACAAAGTACTGTGAGACAGAAAGGAATGGTGTCAGGGCAGGAGCCGAGGAACGGACAGGCAGGCCTAACAATGTAACGCACTGGCTGACGACAACCAACACCCACAGACCGAAGTCCCTCAGGGCGCGAAGTCTAAGTCGCAGGGTGCCCTTCACTAGGGCCCCTGATGGTGGGGATGGACTTGACGCAGCCAGGAACCAGGTCGCGTCCCCCGAGACACCTCAGCTGCGGTAATGGCCGCCGCCAATGGCGTGTAGCTGGTGGAAGAGACAAAAGAGTAGTCAGACAGGCCGGGGTCAACAACAACAGGACAAAACAGTACAGGACAGCAGACGAGAATCACAGGTTACGAGCCGGGTTCAGCAACAGAGGGTCAGATCAAAGGAGAATACAAAGAATAGTCAAGTCACAAGCCGAATCAGATACCAGGAGAGTCACGAGAGTCAGAACAGAGTAACAGCAACACAAAGACACAAGACACAAGTGCAAAGAGCATGTGCGGGCCACAGGCTTATATGTCATCAGCCACGCCCCTCTGGGGGATGGACCTCAGAGACCTGAAGGCATAAAAGGATTCCCACCATGCACAGCAGAATCCAAGATGGACGCCAGCACATGGAGTAACATAACCTCAGGGAAAAGGTAGGACCTTGACAAATGGTCTCAGAATGGTTGTCTCTTCCGGCTTTGTTGGGGCCATTATGGTGGTGCACAAGTTGTGATGCTTGGTGGCTTCCGTCTGCTCTCAGTTCAAGACAAACTATTGAGGAGGTGTTTGGAGAAAGTAAGTTCTTTGCAGAGGAACATTAGAAAAGAATGCAACAAGATCAGGAGAAAGTAATAATAGTTCTGGATAGGGCAATCCTGTGGAGGGGATAATGTGTGCTCAGTGGTGGACTAAGCAGGCAGGGCAATGCCTAGGGAGAAGGAGGAAAAGGCAGTGTTGGGCTAAAGTCATAATCCCTGAGGTACAGCGTGTGTAATGGTTTTACAACCCTCTCACCAATCCTGCACTACAGTCATGGATGCCAATGGCACAGCATTCCCTTATGGATCTATAGCTTGAGCTCCGGTGGACCAACTTTTGTACTGCTGATGCAGAGATGAAGACTGGGGATCCCACTCTCTGTTGCTGGAGATGCAGAAGAAAAAGAATGGCAAACCTGCACTGGAATACTGGGGTGCTGTTGTTTAGGCTGCTTTAGAGGCGAGTGTCTTGAGGGCTCAGCACTGTAGCCTGGGCGTCTGTCACCTTCCTTGATATGGCACTATGCCCTGAATCTCCCCGAGCAGTTCACTCAGCTCCGCTCTTCTCCTCCTCTCCAGCTGTATAGTTCTCTGGGAACTCTAGTTTCCTCTCCATTGTATAGTAGAGCCACCTATATATAGTGGAACTACACCTCCCATAGTCCTTTCCTTAATTGTGTCTCCTCCTTTCAGCCCAGTGTCAACAAATCAGAGAGAGGGCACAAAAAGTCAATAGAGACATAGCAAGCAGGCACAATAATAGGTCTGTGAAGTCCATATTTGTCTTGTTTCCCTTAAAAGGACCATTGTGCCAGCACGTGGCTACATCATCTACCCCTCCCCCTTTATTTTTCAAAGAGGGTTGTCACCTGCCCCTGCCTCCTCTCACTTTGCTTTTCTGAGAGGGCTGTGTTATATTCTTTCAATCGACAAATAAAATATTCAATCAGTAAAAATTTAAATTTTGTCCATGTGAAGTCCAAGATCTGGGGGATGGGGGGAGGGGTGTGTGTTTGTACACAATGGATGGAATTCTGAGCTAACAGATCCCTAGAAATGATATTAAACCTAAAAATGTTACAATTCAGAAAACAAGATAAAAAAAAAATGTGTTATGAAATGATCGTACCTGAAGAGACACCTGCCATGGCCAAGAACCAGAGACGGCGTTTTCACCGTTCACAACCCTGGCGTAGCCGGAGATAAGAGGACTGATGGCGGGAACCCCGCAACCTGAGAACAACACGTTCTGATTATAACCTCCAGTAATACATTGTTACACACTATAATATGATACAACACAATGTCTGTTTGGTCTCTTTTTGTCATCTTTGTCTACAAACGATCATTAATATGACAGATTTTCATTTATTTTATTAATTTTTTTTTATCTAGTCATTAAAAAAAAAAAAAAAATATTCAGAGCCAGGCTATCCCAGCCATATATTGGTTAGTAGTTTGCTGGCTTCATTGTCTTATCCATAGAGGATCAGAAGTTCATGTTTGAAGCTGAATTGAATCCTTTAGAACGGTTCTGCAGTGTGATCAATGAAATGGAGATTGCCAAAAGTCTTCCATATAATCAGATCCATCTATCACGTTTTACATACACTTTAAGAATGTATGTATCTAGTATGATATATATAGTACATGTAAAATAACATACATAAATTATATATATAACAATGTACCACAAACATCCAGTACATGTACTCACCATAGGCTCCGCTGAGGAGGACCAGGCAGGACAGGACCCACAGTGTTGCCATTTTCTGCTGTTGTTGGCTAAGAGGATGATGGTAAGGTCTGTACAGCTTATATACACTCAGTCAACCAATCAGGGGAGAGCTCCAGGCTTGTTATTAGGACAATTTTAGGCCTCCTTATCAGGGAACCTTTAGCAAATCCCGATATTCCACCAACGTGGGCCGGAGGAAAAGATATGAGGAAACAGGTGTTACAGGAGAACGTCACTTATCAAGACTCTCGGTGAGTGCTGAAATCTATAATTAGTCCATGGATCACACAAGACGTCATTTACTCCATATTACCTAAAGAGTGGATTTTATTTATGATGAGGAACATCTCGAAAGTCAATGAATATTGTCAGGGGCGGAATGACAACTCATGGGGCCCCCGGGCAATAGGGGATCATGGGGCCCCTGTGTCCTCGCCCACACTCAAACCACACCCAAAAAAGCCTATGAAAGGTACCAGCGGCATCTCATGGGGCCCCCTACTGACCCCGGGCCCTCAGGCAGTGCCCGAGTTCCCAAATGGTCAGTCCGCCCCTGAATATTGTGGTTCCACAATACAGAATTGCAACCACTAAACACACACAGATCTTGGATTCCAGGATCTCACCAACACTTCCTACATGACTCCGAGGGACTCCATAATTAATTCCTTTTCAGTTAGGACAAAATCCATCATGGACCGTGGGCTCCCCTCTCCACTTCAGCTCAGTAGTGTGGGGATCCCACCTTTCTTTAGAAGAAGCTCCAAGAAAACAACAAAACAATAATGGCACAAACCAGCATTTATTGAATAAAACTCTAAGATTCAACCAAGTCTTCTGAATATAACTGGCTGAATGTCAATAGAGAGTTTCATGAATTTATTTCCAATTTGTATTATTATCTTTGCTTTGTTGTGAACCTCACACTGACGAGCTGGTGAGAAGGTCAAGCATGGACCCACCTGGAGTCCTGATTACTGCATTTGTTCATATTGCTAGATGTTCCAGGCATAGGCATCCCTACCCTACGTAGGTGCCAGGGACTAGTGATGCCTATGCCTGGAACATCTAGTAATATGTACAGAATACAAAAGTCATGATTCCAGGTGGGTCCATGCTTATCTGTCACACCAGCTCCTTACTGCGAGGTCCACAGCAAACCAAAGACAGATAATGGCAAAAATGAGCATTAGATTCATGAAAATCTTTTATAGACATTGAGCTGGTCATATCCAGAAGACCTAAACCTCTAGGTCAGGGGTCTCCAAACTTGCAGTGCAAGGGCCGGATGTGGCCCTTTATTTGCCTTTATCCTGCCCTTGGGGCACTATTCCTCCCACTACCACCAACAATGGGGTACTATCCTTCCCACTGGTACCAGAAATGTTATTCAACCAATTTTATTGCACTGTTTACACCAATGAAGGAGCACTATTCTCTCTCTGTGCCAGTGAGATCGGACTATTATGCCACTGACCAATGATGGCATCCGCGTTGCCTCCCACTGAGCACAAATCGGACGCCCGGGCACTACTTATACTGACACCAATTCTTGGGGCACTGATCCATGTTCTCTCTTGGCCCATGGTGAAATCCCACTGACACAATGATTGGGCACTATTGCTCCGCACTGACACCGGCAATGATGGCAGCACTAGCATTAGTGCCATGTGCGAAATACGGCACTTTAGGCACTGATTCCTCCCAACGGTCACGGCAGGCACTATGTCCTCCCTCTGAAGAATGAATGGGCAAAACTATTCCTGGGACCCATGATGCAATTGTTTTACACTAAGCCGCCAATGCCACGAGGAGGCCCGGCGTCCCCATTGACTTCCAAAAGGGTCAGTGTTTTACTCCCACTGGCCGATTCAATTGGCTATTCTGCACCTGTTTGCAGTGTTCTTATAAAAATGTTTTAATTCTACACTATGTTGCTCCCCTATGTCTCCTGTGAGAGCTTCTTCCATCCTTGTAGCCCTGGGGATTCCTGTGCCAGTTCCTTTGGAGGCTTACCTAGATCGTTACTGCTCTGACCTGCCGAATTACTTCTCACCACATGAGGGCGTAGGAAAATTGGATCTCCATTCTTCCCAGCCATATACCTGACCAGACTCAAGTGGAGAGAGGTCTTCAGGATATATATAACATATGCCATTACCTAACGCGTTCTGGTTAGTGCGAAATTGCTGGTCATTTAACATGGAAACAAGGACACTGTTGTTTAACCGGACTGTGTTTATTATTATTATTTTTCATTGATTCTTGAGACCATTCTTCTTTTAAAAATAAAATCCATTTTTATTTTATATAACAGCTATAACCAATGGTTACTACTCTCTGCCGCTTTTGATACTGTTGACCAGCCTCTTCTTCTCAAAAATCTCCTTTCCCTTGATCTCTGTGACTCTGCTCTTTGCTGGTTCTCTTTTTACCTATCTCACACACATGATGGGCTTCACTATTCCTCTTCCTCTGATCCATGATGGGGCACTATTCCTCCCACTTGGACACCAATGATTCACTATTCACTCCCACTGACACCGATGATAGGGCCTCCCCTTCCTCCACTGATACCAATGATGGGGCACTATTCCTCCCACTGCTTACCAATGATGGGGCACTATTCTATGTCCCACACTGATACCAATCTTTCTAGCTTTCACTATTCAGTCCCACTGACATTTAATGATACATCACTATGTCCCCCACTTTCTCAAACTGAAACAGTAGCTCATAACATTCCTCTCCCATGTACCTCCTCCCCGGAATTTTCCTCCCACTAATCAATGGAATGGGCAACTATCCGTCCCTCCACGCATGACAGGATGAGATGTATCATTGACCAATTATGAACTTTCCTTTCAGCCCACAACCATCCTTGAATGTCTAAATTGAATCATCTTACTCATTCAGAACATCTCCAAAATATGTCCCCTAAACCAACAAAACCCAAAGCTAGTCGATCACTTTGGAGACCCCTGATCTAGGTCTTGGTTGACTATTAGAGTTGTATTCTCAAATTCTGGTTTGTGCCATTATTTCCCCTTTCATCCATCATGGAGCTTCTTCAGAAAAAAAAATGAGACCCCCAAACTGCTGAGCCGATAGTGGAGGACATGGTCCATGATGGATTTTGGTTATAATTCCGATCACCCAATGAACTGGTAAATTCAAAATAATAACACAAAAATGCTGGTCAGTGGAATCCAAGACCTGTGCTACCACAAGCTACGTCACCAAAATGCCTTGTCTCAAAATGTCACCCCAAATTGATCCTCTCCTCTCCTCCCAAGAAAATCCTGCTCTTTAGCTCCCTTCTCACTCTTCTCCACCATGGAATCTACTCTCAGAGCATTTCACATACTATTGACCACCCCTTCTGGAGCTCCCTTTCCCAATCTTTCAAACTGTCTGTCTCTTGCTTCACTGAAAACTCATCAGATCAGAGAGGCCTATCCTGCCTCTAACTAATGAACTGTACGTTGACTTTCTCCATCGGCTCATCCCCTACAGTTATTACCTTTTCCATCATTTCGCCTTCCTATTTAATTGTAAGCCCTCCCATTTCCCCCTCTGATTGCCTCTAGTATTGAATTGTATTGCAACTGTACTGACTCGCCTCTATTTTGTAAAGCGATTTGCAAGCTGTTGGCACTATATAAATCCTATGTAATAATAACATAATTTAAATGGCGTCCTGTGATCCATGGACTAATTATAGATTTCTACACTCAGCGATAGTCTAGACAAATGACGTTCTCCTACAACACCTGTTTCCTCATATTTGTTCCTCTGTCCCACGTTGGTGGAATATCTGGATTTGCTAAAGGTTGCCTGATAAGGAGGCCTAAAATTGTCCTAATAGCAAACCTGGAGCTCTCCCCTGATTGGCCGACTGAGTGTATATAAGCTGAACAGACCTTACAATCATCCTCTGAACCAACAACAGCAGAACGGTCTTGCTCAGCGGGACCCATGGTGAGTGCACAAAGGGATATTTGTGATACAATGTAATATATAGAAATTGTATATTTTTTAACACATACATAGTACATTAATCTGAATATATGGGTCACACACTAGGTCCTAGTATAGGTGGTCATACAAATATTACATTTTTTATACTCTATTTATACAGTGCCAACAGTTCGGATTGGATGTAAATACGCTGTACATTAAGCTGGGAGACAAAAGTACATGAGACAGTCATTTCAAATACAATACATGAGGGGTTTGGGGCCCTGGTCCTATGGAGCTTACAATCTAGGAGGGAGGAGATAGTGGTACGGGAGGAATATGTGGGGGATGGAGTGGTTAAGGTAGAGGAGATCGGCAATGGCAGGGGGCTGGTAGGCTTCCCTGAATAGGAGGGTTTTCAGGGTGCGCCTAAAGCAGGCACACACTATCACAAGTATGAGACTGCAGGCTTGGCTGGCTTAAATCAGGTTTGGTCTTCACCCAGAGACTGGCTTCATCAATCACTTTGCAGTTGG